TAGTGCCAGATTTTAAAGGGAATGCTTCCAGTTTTTGCCCATTCAGTATGATATTGGCTGTTGGTTTGTCATAAATAGCTTTTATTACTTTGAGATACGTTCCATCGATACCGAGTTTATTGAGGGTTTTTAGCATAAAGGGCTGTTGAATTTTGTCAAATGCCTTCTCTGCGTCAATTGAGATAATCATGTGGTTTTTGTTTTTGGTTCTGTTTATGTGGTGAATTATGTTGATAGACTTGCGTATGTTGAACCAGCCTTGCATCCCTGGGATGAATCCTACTTGATCATGATGAATAAGTTTTTTGATTTGCTGTTGCAATCGGCTTGCCAATATTTTATTGAAGATTTTTGCATCTATGTTCATCATGGATATTGGCCTGAAGTTTTCTTTTCTCGTTGGGTCTCTGCCGGGTTTTGGTATCATTGATGTTATTAATACTCTTTTTTTTTTTTTTTTTTTTGAGACGGAGTTTTGCTCTTGTTACCCAGGCTGGAGTGCAATGGCGCGATCTCGGCTCACCGCAACCTCCGCCTCCTGGGTTCAGGCAATTCTCCTGCCTCAGCCTCCTGAGTAGCTGGGATTACAGGCACGCGCCACCATGCCCAGCTAATTTTTTGTATTTTTGGTAGAGATGGGGTTTCACCATGTTGACCAGGATGGTCTTGATCTCTGGACCTCAATATCCACCCGCCTCGGCCTCCCAAAGTGCTGGGATTACAGGCTTGAGCCACCGCGCCTGGCCCTATTAATACTTTTAATGTCCACTTGGTTATAATCCAATGTGTAAAAGCTGTTATTACTATTGTTATTATCACTGATTAATGGTTGATTTTAAAGTTAAGGGCATAATTTTATTTTCTTACATACGTTTCTTTATTTTCACATTCTTTACCTCTATTAACTTTAAAGTTCGCGGGCATACTTTATCTTATGTGTATTTTAAGTTATTTTCTATAAGTTTGTGCTTATAGTGCATTAAAAACTAGCAAATTTTAATTTATTTTGAAGTTGTGTTGCTGCTCGTCATAGAATCTTAAGCTGAGAGGAAATTTAGGAAATCATTTCATTCTTTCTTTGAGCTCCACCAGGTTTCTCCCTAAAAACTAACCTTGAAAACAATGGTATCTATTTTATTTTGAAAGTTGTCTTGAGAAGTAGATTATATCAAAGTATATTTTTCATGGTTTTGGATAAATATGCTTTCAATAAAGCAATGATTAAAATATTTTGTCCTTAAAGGTTTTATGTTTTCTTCAAAACATTTAAAAAAATCTACTTTAAAAACTCTTTTGTCTTTGCCATGACTTGCAGATTTGGCACTTTCTTGCTCCTGGCATCTTACATAGATTGTTATAGGATATATTATAGCTTTTATTCCCATGATATGTGGTCACATTAAGTTTAAAATATCATTTTGTGTTAATGTGAGTTGTCTCCCAGATCTCTGTAAATATTTTATTTCCCTGATCATGTAGGGGATTTTGACATTGTTATAATTTGCACTGTATTGAGGGTTTGTTTATTGGCACGACATGCAATATGTCAGGAGACAAAAGAGCTTAATGATGGAGAAAGTCCAGGAGCCTATTTAGGCCTAACTCCCTCCCACTCTAAACAGGCAATTTATTTGCCCTCTTCTGCTGCTGCTTCTTGGTAAAATTCAAATCTGACCTGCTGCTTCTCTACTTAAAATTCTGTAATACTTCCCACCCACCTGAAGTACCAAATCCCTATCCCTTAGCATGGCCTGGAGACCCCACACAGTTTGCCACCATCCTACCTGCCCAAGTCTCCTCTATTGCTGTTCTGCATTACCAGGAGAGGGAATATATTCTAAGGAAAGAGTTTGGTTTTGGAGTCAGGAAGACCTGGGCTAAGAACCTGCCATTACTGATCACCTCTGATTCTGTGAACTTACACGGATTATTTGACGTTTCTCAACCTCACTTTCCTCCTCTGAACAGAGAAATGATATTTCTTGTCTCACAAAGTTGTTGCAAGCATTAAATAAAATAAGGTGTGTGTAGTGCCCACCAAGGGTCTTCTTAAGTTAACTAAACACGAGGACTCACAAGGCTACCACAGGCCACGTTCCTTGCCAGCAGGGCAGCTTCAAGAAGTCCTCTCAGCAGGGCCTCTGCATGTTTACACAAGTGACAGCTCACAGACCTTTCTGGGGACTGTTGTCTCCCCACACGACATAGTTCCAGGTACAAAGCATAAGCTCCAGATCAGGGAGGTACAGGAGTTGCTCTGGCTTAGAAGTCTCCTGCTTTAAGTAGCTGATCTCTGTTATAGCAATTCTTGACATTGTTTCTAGGGTTCCCAAGAAGAGACTGCATTCAGGGAAGGCCAAAGCATAGCATTCCTATCAGACAGTTACAGCGCATTCACATTTCTTCCTGATTCAGATGCAGTTTACCAACCAAGGATCATTTTTACTGTAAAGCAGTGTTGCCTAGCAATATAGTCAATGTCTAAGATCTTACCTGGTTTCCAGGGTAACAGAGCTAGGTGGTTAAACCAAAGTTTAGATTCTCAAGCAGCAAGGGAAAAGGTTTGTTAACCCATTCATTCTAATGTGCAACAGACCCAACCAGGGGCTTCACACATTACAGTTCTCAAAATACGCTAGTTCATTTCTTCAACAAATATTTAAGAGCTCGTGCTATATGTTAAGAGCAATGTAAGACAGAAGTACAGTGTCAAGGTAAACAGATATGGCATTTACCTTCATAGTGTTTTTTCCATGATGCCCCTAATTCCTTTCATTGCCTGGAAAACTATCCTTCAAAGGACAGCTCAGATATTACCTTTTCTCTGAAGTCTATGCACAATCTAATCCCCTAGCACTTTGTGTATATTGCCCTGAATTCATGGATTGGTCTTGGGGATCCATGAATCCCCTAAAGTAATATGCAGATTTTGTGTGCTCATAGGAATGTATGTTTGAGGAAAGGGACTAACACTTTTCTTGTTCAGTGGGATCTGTACTACTCCCCCTGCACCTGCCACCCCAAGAATTTAGAACCATTACTCTGTTATGAGCATTTATAACATGTGGTTTTGTTATTTGTTTATAGGTCTATATTTCTTACTAGAACATGAGTATCTTAAATGAGACAACTGTTATGTATTCATATTTTGTGCCAGGAGAATGCCTGCATCATAGTAGACTTCTAGGAAATGTATGTTGAAAGAATCACTTCTTAGTATGCCTACCAGGTTCAGCACCTTGATGATACCAATGGTGCAGTGTATGCTAATTTCAAAGGAAAACTTCTACCTTATGGTAAACTAAAATCAACCTTTCTTGTTCCTAGCTTTGTCCTCTGCAGTTATAAATTGTGTACCCTCTTCCAAATTGTAATTGCCCTTTTATGTGATTCAGTTGTTTGGGGAAATCAAAGGAAAATGGTTAACACGGGGGCATTGTTTAAAAAAAAAGTTGCATTCACATCTTAAATATTTTTTTTTAATTGACATCTTAAATATTTTAACTTATAACATCTGAATGTACAATAATTTACTAGTATTTGTATCTTGTTAGAAGGAGAAACTTAGCAGATATTATGTTAACCAAGTTATCAAGATTATCATCACTAAGTTGTATTGATATGATATATTCTCTGATGTTATGAGACTTTCCCCCAACCCATACCACCAGTCTAATCTTGAGACAATATTAGACAAACTGAGATTGAAGAATATTCTGTAAAATACCTGAGCTTTTCAAAAGTCTCAAGTTTCTGAAAAATAAGGAAATACTGAGAAACTATTACAGACCAGATGAGACTAGGGAGACATGATTACTAAATGCAAAGTGTTATCATGAATTAGATCTTGGAACGGAAGGAAGGGATATTAGTAGAAAAACAGGTGAAATTCAAAGTGTATAGTTTTGACCAATGTATCATGGTCTCATAAAATATTAACATTAGGGACAGCTGGGTGAAGTGCATATGGGAACTAATATACTACCTTTGTAACTTTTCTGTAAATCTAAAATTATTCCAAAATAAAAAGTTTGTTAAAACATAGTAATAGAAGAATTTATAGAAGAAAGTTGTTAGGTGATTTGACAGTTAAGACACGTAAACCGAAATAAAAGTCAGGAACACCAAAAAAATTTGTAACAGACTAATAGAGCTAGGGTTTATACTCTTAATATAGAACACATTTTTACAAATTAATAAAAACATAATAATATCCTGGAAAATAGTCACTAACACAATTCACAGAAGAAACACAGTGATCTCTAAGTAGAAAAACTAGATGAATCTCACCAGTAATTTAAGAGTTGCCAATTAAAGCAGTACTGAAAATAATTTCACCTATTACTAGTGCAGAATTGGAAAAATGATAATATCCAATTATGAAAAGGGTGAGTGGAGGAATTAGAGATTGGCACAACCTTTCTGGATAGAAGTTCATCTAATAGGTGTTGGGTTTTAAAATATGCATATCATTTGTGCTTATCATCTCTTACTTATATAAGATTCTTTCCAAGGAAATAGATACGTTAATAAATGTTCTAACAGGAGCATTCATCACAGAGTTATTGATAATGAAATCCTCAAAACATAAATGTCTAACAGGTGAGGGAATGATCTCAAAAGTTCTGATGTACTTATGGAATAGAATGTTGTGGACTAATTAGGATTCATCTAAATAAAACAACAAAAACAAGATATAGTATGTATAGTCACCATTCCAAATATATCTTTTGAATGGATGGCAGAGAAACACAATGTCATGTGAAAAGTAGTACTTACCTCTGGGTAGTGAGATAAAAGGACGATTTTTGCTTTGTGTATTTCTCCTTGCATTTTCAAAATTACCTCTAGTGAGTATATATTACTTTTATAATTGGGGAAAAATTAGCATTGCAAGCCTTGTGGTTAATGAATTTCTTTCATCTTTTATGTTCATTTAATTAAGAGAATGTTAGTTTTATTTTGTTCTGTGTAAAGCAATTTTTTCCTCTTTCCACTAGGAAGCTGCTCAGGGTGCTCCCACTGCCAAGTGAGAATTGGGGATCTCTAATTGGAGAATGGTGTTGTCATCCCGACCCCTTTGCTAATAAACCACTTCATCCGCAAGAAGAGGACTGCTTTATTGGAGACTCTTTCTTTTTGGTGAATTTAAGAACCAGTTTGTGGCAGCCAAGACCTGAACTATCTCCTGTGGAGATGTGCTGTGTTTCTTCTGACAACCATTGTAAATTGGTAAAATATCATTTCAAAATAAATGCTAATTTAGAGGTTGTCTTAGATACTGGTTTCTTCAATCTTCTCGTAGTTCAGGACTTGTTACACAGACTGCTGTAAAGACCAAAATTCATTATGTTCAACTGTCATCTCTATCTGCTTTATCAAAACAGGAAGAATCATGTTTTGGCTTTAAACTAAAACAGCCACAGGGGCCTAGAAGAATAAGGAGAGGAAGACCTCTGCAGGTGTAGAATGGGGAGTACTACCACTTTACAAACCAAAATGTCCCACTTTCTTGTTCTTAGGACAATATTCCATAATTTGTGTGCATTTTATCCTAAATAGTCCGATTTAAGTTAAAAGTGTTCTCTTGCTCTGGGATATGTACTATCTGATTAAGCTGAGGTATTTTAGTATTTCTGCCCATAGACTAGACTTCTACCGAAGTCATAAATGCAGATGTCATCAAGTAAAAAGAGGAATGGAGGAGCCCAGGAATGGAGATAAAGCTCGTGTTGCAGGGTCTAAGTTGGTGCTTGACAATGTGAGGTCTGATGGCTCTTGCTGTATAAGTTGCTTTGGGAAGAAGGCAATTTTCTTTCACTGCAGAGAACGAGTGTTTTACTTTATTTTAAAAGAAAATCAGTGGCATTGGCGTGGCCCTATGAGAAATCATTCCCCTGATGGGCAGTCAAAATAGATGTTATTTAAAAAGTAAAGAAAATCATTGCCAGAGAATCATTTTAGCATCTGATTGTTGGTGGGAACAAAAACATTGTATTTTAAATTTCATTTAGAACTCATTTAATTTTTGTAATAAGAACTGAGCGACTGCAGGAAATACGTAGTAGTTGGGCAGCTCTTAGGTTTAAATTAGTTTTATAGAATTATTTTGAGGGAGATGAATGTTAAATGTGGAAGTTAAGTTGTTGTCAGATAAAATTATTTAAGTGCCCCATCTTACACTGTAAACAGAAATCCCTTTACTAAATATGGTTAACTCTGATGAACTATAGTACTTTACATTTTATATTTTAAAAGGTAAATAGTAAGTTAATATAAATTTGTTATATTTAATATGATTAATTTAATTTGTATTTTGATCTAAATATATGTACTAATACTTTATTATTTTATGTGTTTTAAATTTCATCTTTATGATTAAGCTATACATTTAAAAATATTTGGAAGTTGTGAGCAGAAAAGCAGAGAAAGATTAAATGAGGGAAACATGATTTTGAATAAACTCAGCACTCTGTGCTGAAATATATTCTTCACATTTACATCTTTATCAGTTATGTGATGCCATTTACAAGAATTTCTCTTCATAGTAAACAGCTGTCTGATCCATTAAAGAAAGTCCCTTCATATTTTTAGACATAACAGTTTTTAGTATCAAGGAGACTGTGGGAAATTCTGTACTATCATGACAAGCTGCTGTTGACAAGATTTTCTTCAAGTTAGCCTAGATGAAAGTTCTGCTTTAATTGTATATTATAGTAGTCCAAAGAGTGTGCCTGTGACCAAAATAGAAACATAAATTTGGAGGGACTGCTTAAACAGTGCTCTCAAGGCTCTTGTGGGAACAAGGCTTCTCTGTGCTATTGAAAACCTTTTTCTCCTATCACCCACTCTAGCCATCTAGCAAGGTTTTGAAATGTCACATGGTAACAAAGCATCCTAATGGTATCTCTTGGGAAACATTTTTTTGGTGAGATTATATCAAGAGTCCTTAGAAATTGAAACAACACAAAGAGAAAATAAAGCAGGGACAGGAGGCTAATCCACCTCTCTGAGCAGCCCTGCCATGTCTCAGATATATTGACTTAATTAGTCCACAACAGTGTCTGTCTTTGCTCTGTAGAGTTCCCACACTGTTAGACTGCTTCATTGCACAACTTGCTTTATTATTTTTGAAGGCTAGGTGAAGAAAAATGCATTACAAAAAGAGATTCTCTTTAAACAAAATGTATGTGTTGTAATATGTTTAATTTAAAAAATCTGCTTTAAAAACAGCACAAACAAACAGACATGAAACCCAACTCTATTAATTTCTTTTCTTCCGTAGCCTTTTAGAACTTACAGTACTTTATTTGCGCCTTTGTCATTGCAGCAGTATCTACTTATTTTTAAAAGATACCTGCTGAAGATTTCCCTATTCATGTATTCATGTATCATCTCTCTTGTGCTATTTTGTGCCTACCCACATAATAAAAATGGGATCTTATAATAATGGGATGATAAAGATGGCATTTCATCCTTTTATAAGATTCAAACTATTATTCAAGACTTCACTCTTTTTTAAAGAACAAATAAAATTGATCTTTGATTATATTAATATTACTGCTGGCAAGGATGATTAACATCTTTATCTTTTTGTTCTTTCTTGGAGTACTTGGTAATAATTAGTTGATTTTGGCAATTTGTTTTTTTAAATCCATGTGTGTCTTTTTTGTTTTTTTAGAAAAATGTGTTGTTAAACTCTAAGTATTCTCAAGTATAAAAAGAATAGTATTATAAACTTCAATATGGATTTATCAAGTATGCTTCATCTGCTCTTTTTTTCTGAAGTGCTTTAAAACAGTCATGTCATTTTACCCCTATGTGTTTCAGTATGTACATCTACAAATAGGGATTTTAAAAAATGTAGCCACCCTATCATTATCACACCTTACAAAAATTAACAGTTATTCCTTGATGATAAAATACCAGGCCATATACAGATTTTATCAATTGTCTTAAAAGTATCTTGTACTATAGGTTTGTTTGAATCAAGATCCACACATATGATTGAGGTAATTTGCTTATTGTTAATCTGATTCTTAAATCCTGATTAACCATGTCTGATAAGGATAGAGTCTTATTTTAACAACAAGCAAACAAAAAACACTTTACCTGCCCCCTTGAAAGACAAGGTGAGATGTTCTGTGAGAGCAATTACAGATGAAGTAAATATCAGAGCACTTGAAAAAAAATTTTTCTGCTTCAAATAGAAAGATTCTTTCTTCTCAAGCATTGTTATTACAATACAAATATTAGTTTTTAGTAAAGCCTTTGGTTTTTGGTAAGATCTAATAAGTGTGATCAGATTTAACTTGTACAAAATAGTACTCTTTAAAAAATATTTTTAATATCAACTTGGAGCCATACAGGTATGTTTTACTCTAAGAAAGCATGAAAGTGCCAGAATACCACTCAGAAAGTATTTTCTGAGCTCTCTTTTTCCTGGACCTGAACAAATTGGCACCTTCCTAGGTTTCTGTGTCTGTCTCTTACCTCCGATGGGAATGACCCCATCCAGTTTCCCACCTGGGTCAGGCTCTGAGACCTGCCGTTTGTGATGTTCCTGATAAAGATGTCGGTACAGTGGCCAGAGATGGCACACTGTGGGGCCCACTTTGTGAGTGTGCCTGGATAAAAGTTTGAGCCAAGTCTGAGCTGACTTATGAATTTCATGTGTGCTTTCGTTTTCTCAGCAGAGACTTTTAGAGAAAGTCTGCAGAATCTGTGCAAATACTGCAGCTAGAACAGGAAAAAATGGAATAAGTGTTTATATTACTGAAGGTTACTTTAGTGTATGAAGGGATTCGTCTCGGGAGTTTCTAAATAGAAGAGCTGTGGACATCTATGGATTTTTTTACTAGTTGTCTGTTTTTGATGCTGGGAGAAAGAATAGGTCATTAGAGAAAGAGCCCAATATGAATTGTGCTGTTACTCTTGACTTTGACCTCTAATTGAATATATATATTTTTACATCAAGATCTGATAACACACACACACACTCATGTATGCATACATACATATACAAACACACGTCAACAGCTTATTGAAGCAGAATTTACTCAGTGTTTGAAGCACAACTTACTCAGTGTTTGAAGCACTGCCATATTTTCTGTTCTATTGTATTTCGTTTTTTAAAAACACAGTAATCCACTGAATTGGTTCCATGAATTGGTTCCCACTGATGGGATGCATGAACTGTAGTTTGAAAAACACTTAGCATAGTGTTTAGAAGCGTTAGCATCAGAGGGGCCCAAATTCAAACATCAGTTCTGTCAGTTACTAGCAGCACATCCATGGAACACAATTTAAATGTACTACTTCTACAACTTTTCAGGAAATTATGCCAAGGAAAAAATATTTATACTCAAATGTATATTAATCAGGAAAAAGTTTTTTTCCTTAGATTAAATGCATGTTATCCCACATCAGAAGTCACTGTCCTTCTTTACCTCAGCCTAGACCTATTTTGTGGTTTCCCAGGAAGGGTTCCCTGGAGTGTCCAGAGTTGCAGAGTCTAGTTTTCCTTGCCCACTTTCTATGGCTTCTGCCTTGTTGCAGTGTATCTGCATGAGAGAAATGTTGTATGGTTTTAACAAAGGTAGAATTATGGATGTGAGAAGGAGTATTCTTTGTTTATTGATTAGGCAAATGCTATTTTAATCTGTATCTCAAATAGTGAATTTGGATTTTCAAAGGTTAGGATTGTTTCAGGAATTGTTCCAGAGCACTACCTGTCTTTCCAGTTACAGTGCCTATCCTAAGTGGAAAAAATGAAAGTATATGAACAGACTAGATATTTTTAACTTTTCATTTTTTGGTAGTTAAGGGTTATCGGTTACTTTGATATAAATTACACTGGACTAGGAGTCCAAACAGTGTGAGTTCAAGTTCTGATTTTTCTGTGTGGTATACACATGAGTTGAGGCAAGTCATCAACCCTGTCTTGTTGTCCACTATCTGCCTGTTCTAAGTTATAAGGCTATTTGGAAGAGCTTTTTAGAAATTTAAGGTGCTACTTATTCAAATTATTTGGCAATATTTGAATTATCAAGAAGTGGCTAGTTTTGGAAAAGTGAATCTGTGCTTTATTGTTTCTTAAGACTTGAAAAACTGATCTCTGTGCATGTGAATTATGCATACAAGCTAAGTGTATTTGCAGTATTTAGTAGAGGGCAGAATAAAATGTAAAGTTCAATGTACACTCTGGGGACTGTGTTAAAATTATATATTCCTTTTAAGAAAAGCTGAATGACATTTAAATGACATTTTTCTCTTCTACAGGAACCAAAGGCAAATACCAAAGTAATTTGTAAGCGTTGCAAGGTAATGTTGGGAGAGACCATGTCATCAGGTAAGAATTTCATAACAAGAAGGCAAAATTATTGCCTTCTTGTTTAAAAGCCAGAATGATATCTTATAGTAAATATATAGGAAAGATTGATGATTAATACATGTTGTAAAATTGGTCCTTTTCAAAATAGACCCCAACTAACATATCATTCAGTATACCAAGAAATTTCTGTATTTGGACCTTCGTAAGTACAAAAGTATTGAGTTTTAAGCATTAAGAAGTTGAGTCATTTTCAGTGTTTCATAGCCTTTTTGTAGATATAAAGTAATAGTATAAAGTTTGTACTTGGGTCTATTTTAAAGAAAATTGGAGCTTTTTTCTTTTTTTTTCTTTCTTCCTTTTTTATTTTGTGATGTTACCTTCCTGGTAACTTACAGAGCAGAGCCTTTTTGTTAATACAACTCCTCAGTCAGAAGAGTTGGTGCCCAGAGATGGAGAAATTGTTTTCCTTGGCTGCCATCTGGCTTGGGGCTGTATTTTGGGGCTGGGGATGGGAGAGGACCTGTTGAAATGGAAGAAAACACATTCTGAGTTTTGTACTTTGTTCCTTATTCTTTTTTATTTCCCAATATTTTGATTATATTTTATGTAAGCTCTGTTACACTACTTTAAAATATAATAATGAAAATCCTGATAATTAAAATGCATTGCTGTTTAAAGATATGGTTTAAAGTGTCTAGAGAGCCACAGCATTCTGTGTTAGCTTTGTGGATGATGAATAATTGCTGTTAATACAATTAATTAGAAGATGTGATTTATATGAAGCAGTTGTACTTAAGGGAAGGCAGATGATGGTATTTTTTTGTTTGTTTAATCATCAGAATCTTGTAAGCAGTTACTTGTTCACAGTGAGCCAAAAAGGAAAAATGAGTTAGTAAAGGATACCATCCTCAATGTCATTTTTGGAAAATGAAAGCAAGCCCCTGAAGCAACACCTTAGAAAATGTTAAGGCTTCTGGTTAAATAAGGTGAATTGATTTTTAAATTCTTTTCTCCCTGAAGTCCTGTTGAAATGTCAGTTGAGGAATGAAAAGATATATATCTACAAAGGCAAAGAGAAATGGAGAAGAGTTGACAATGACATAAACAAGAGATGTAAGCAGACTTTTTTGGAATACACTTGGCAGCATGAAGGAAGCTGCAGTTTCAGTGTCTGTAGATAATTTGGATGAGGAGTGAGCCAGTACTCACTGTAAAACCCTAGAACAGGTTTGAATGTGGAAGCAGCCAGTAACAGGGAAGGCAGTCTGAGGCAAGGAGCTGGAAGCAGGATGATTGGTTCAAAGTGTATATATGGAGCTACTAGACTCCTGGATTTCCCACTTCATTTTCAACTTGCTTTTATAATCCTCAAGGTGGGAGATTGGAAGACCACCCCCTCTTTTTTTTGAATAATGGAAGAGTACCAACTAGAGAAAAGACTTGCAAACACTGATTCTTTGGGATGATTCAACCAAAAATGAGCTTATATTATTGTTCAACAAAAATGAGCTTACTCTAGGCACAGTGGTATATGCCTGTAGTCCCAGGTACTTGGGAGGCTGAGGCAGGAGGGTCACTTGAACCCAGGAGGTCGAGGCTGTAGTGTACTATTATTGCACCTATGAATAGCCACTGTACTTCAGCTTGGAGAATACAGGGAGACCCCATCTCTTAAAAAAAAATTTATTGGGTATAGGTACAAAAAACTTGTATTTGTTCATTCACTGGGTATAAGTACAAGAGATTCCTCTCAGCATTTCACTGCCTTGCACTAAAATTGAAATGGATTGTTGAGGATCATCAAATATTTGAGGAAATCTCCAACAAAAAAGAAACCAAGGCAAATAAATAATTTAGCAAGCAGATTAAAAGCACTGAGAAGCAACGCATTATGTATACCAGAAGAAAACCTTTAAAAAATACATAAAATGCCCTTGGAGAAATAAAATTATGTTGCTTCCATAATTCAGATAATATGGAATTTTAAAATGTGATACTTCAAAAAAGAAAAATCAAACACTTGGAAGATAAAATTAAAGAATTAGGCCAGAAATTAAAACCAAAAGACAGAGATTGAAAGTTAAAGAAGAGGCCAGGCACCATGGCTCACACCTGTATTCCCAGCATTTTGGGAGGCTGAGGTGGGCAGATCACCTGAGGGCAGCAGTTCAAGACCAGCCTGGCCAACATGGTGAAACTACATCCATACCAAAAATACAAAAATCAACCAGCCATGCTGATGGGCGCCTGTAATCCCAGCTATTAGAGAGGCTGCGGCAGGAGTATTTCTTTTTTTTTTTTTTTTTTAATTTTTTATTGGATTATAGGTTTTGGGGTACATGAGCAGAGCATGCAAGACAGTTGCGTAGGTACACACATGGCAGTGTGCTTTGCTTTTCTTCTCCCCTTCACCCACATTTGGCATTTCTCCCCAGGCTATCCCTCCCCACCTCCCCCTCCCACTGGCCCTCCCCTTTTCCCCCCAATAGACCCCAGTGTTTAGTACTCCCATTTCTGTGTCCATGTGTTCTCATTTTTCATCACCCACCTATGAGTGAGAATATGCGGTGTTTCATTTTCTGTTCTTGTGTCAGTTTGCTGAGGATGATGTTTTCCAGATTCATCCATGTCCCTACAAACGACACGAACTCATCATTTCTGATTGCTGCATAATATTCCATGGTGTATATGTGCCACATTTTTCCAATCCAGTCTATTATCAATGGGCATTTGGGTTGATTCCAGGTCTTTGCTATTGTAAACAGTGCTGCAATGAACATTCGTGTACATGTGTCCTTATAGTAGAACGATTTATAGTCTTTTGGATATATACCCAGTAATGGGATTGCTGGGTCAAATGGAATTTCTATTTCTAAGGCGTTGAGGAATCGCCACACTGTCTTCCACAATGGTTGAACTAATTTACACTCCCACCAACAGTGTAAAAGTGTTCCTTTTTCTCCACATCCTCTCCAGCATCTGTTGTCTCCAGATTTTTTAATGATCGCCATTCTAACTGGCGTGAGATGGTATCTCAATGTGGTTTTGATTTGCATCTCTCTGATGACCAGTGACGATGAGCATTTTTTCATATGATTGTTGGCCTCATATATGTCTTCTTTTGTAAAGTATCTGTTCATATCCTTTGCCCACTTTTGAATGGGCTTGTTTGTTTTTTTCCTGTAAATCTGCTTGAGTTGTTTGTAAATTCTGGATATCAGCCCTTTGTCAGATGGGTAGACTGCGAAAATTTTTTCCCATTCTGTTGGTTGCTGACCCACTCTAGTGACTGTTTCTTTTGCCGTGCAGAAGCTGTGGAGTTTCATTAGGTCCCATTTGTCTATTTTGGCTTTTGTTGCCAATGCTTTTGGTGTTTTGTTCATGAAGTCCTTGCCTACTCCTATGTCCTGGATAGTTTTGCCTAGATTTCCTTCTAGGGTTTTTATGGTGCCAGGTCTTATGTTTAAGTCTTTAATCCATCTGGAGTTAATTTTAGTGTAAGGTGTCAGGAAGGGGTCCAGTTTCTGCTTTCTGCACATGGCTAGCCAGTTTTCCCAACACCATTTGTTAAACATGGAATCCTTGCCCCATTGCTTGTTTTTGTCAGGTTTATCAAAGATTGTATAGTTGTATGTATGTTGTGTTGCCTCCGGTGCCTCTGTTTTGTTCCATTGGTCTATATCTCTGTTTTGGTACCAGTACCATGCTGTTTTGATTACTGTAGCCTTGTAGTATAGTTTGAAATCCGGTAGTGTGATGCCCCCCGCTGTGTTCTTTTTGCTTAGAATTGACTTGGCTATGCGGGCTCTCTTTTGGTTCCATATGAAGTTCATGGTGGTTTTTTCCAGTTCTGTGAAGAAAGTCAATGGTAGCTTGATGGGGATAGCGTTGATTCTGTAAATTACTTTGGGCAGTATAGCCATTTTCACGATATTAATTCTTCCTAACCATGAACATGGAATGTTTCTCCATCTGTTTGTGTCCTCTCTGATTTCGTTGAGCAGTGGTTTGTAGTTCTCCTTGAAGAGGTCCCTTACGTTCCTTGTGAGTTGTATTCCAAGGTATTTTATTCTTTTTGTAGCAATTGCGAATGGCAGTTCGCTCTTGATTTGGCTTTCTTTAAGTCTGTTATTGGTGTAGACGAATGCTTGTGATTTTTGCACATTGATTTTATATCCTGAGACTTTGCTGAAGTTGTTTATCAGTTTCAGGAGTTTTTGGGCTGAGGCGATGGGGTCTTCTAGGTATACTATCATGTCGTCTGCAAATAGAGACAATTTGGCTTCCACCTTTCCTATTTGAATACCCTTTATTTCTTTTTCTTGCCTGATTGCTCTGGCTAGAACTTCCAGTACTATATTGAATAGGAGTGGTGAGAGAGGGCATCCTTGTCTAGTGCCAGATTTCAAAGGGAATGCTTCCAGTTTTTGCCCATTCAGTATGATATTGGCTGTTGGTTTGTCATAAATAGCTTTTATTACTTTGAGATACGTTCCATGGATACCGAGTTTATTGAGGGTTTTTAGCATAAAGGGCTGTTGAATTTTGTCAAATGCCTTCTCTGCGTCAATTGAGATCATCATGTGGTTTTTGTTTTTGGTTCTGTTTATGTGGTGAATTACGTTGATAGACTTGCGTATGTTGAACCAGCCTTGCATCCCTGGGATGAATCCTACTTGATCATGATGAATAAGTTTTTTGATTTGCTGTTGCAATCGGCTTGCCAATATTTTATTGAAGATTTTTGCATCTATGTTCATCATGGATATTGGCCTGAAGTTTTCTTTTCTCGTTGGGTCTCTGCCGGGTTTTGGTATCAGGATGATGTTGGTCTCATAAAATGATTTGGGAAGGATTCCCTCTTTTTGGATTGTTTGAAATAGTTTTAGAAGGAATGGTACCAGCTCCTCCTTGTGTGTCTGGTAGAATTCGGCTGTGAACCCATCTGGACCTGGGCTTTTTTTGTGAGGTAGGCTCTTAATTGCTGCCTCAACTTCAGCCCTTGTTATTGGTCTATT